TTGTAAATCTTTACAGGGATAGATACATAAATAGAAAAAATATGCATTATAACGCCACAACTGTGAAGGTAAAAGGAAAAAAATTACCCTTAATAGTAACACCTGAAATACAATAGAAAATACTTTTAAAAACTCCACCCCCCTTGTGTAAAAAAAACATGTAAAATGTTAACTTTGTATATTGATCCTGATTTCTGATATAGTAGTACTTTAATAGCTAGCATATGTGATCTGTGAATTTCAGCTATGTAAAGACCTGTTTCGTGCTGATATTTTAGCTTTGGTTGAGATTACATTTGGGTGTATGTATTTTTTAATATTTAAAAGTACCTGAACTGGACAGAAATGTAGACCACAGTTTCTCTTTTACAGCATTGTGTAAACATATGTAATTAGCCTTGTACTTATCTGCATTAGTATCATTAGAATTGAAAACCCATTTTAATCTGGATTCTGTTCTCTTCTCAATGTCAGCCTGTTTCTGGACCGGTACAGAGCTAGCCTTGTTGATGCAATAAAGAGATTACTCCAACCCAGTGTAAGTATGTTTCTATTTTCTGCTGAACACTGGCTTCAGAATAATTAGTCTGTGCACAATGATTGAGAGAGTAATGGAATGGCAGGATTAATGTCATGTAATACTTTAATACTTATTATGTCCAACTTCAATTGAGTCTTCTAATCTATCAGATTCTTTCCTAATCATAAACTAGGAAACTTCTTATACTTGGCCTTCTGATAAGGAACACAGTGGGTAGTAAAATAAATGAAACCGCTTCAAAGATAGCGTGAGATTATTTTTATCAAAGCGTTTCTCAAGTATTTTCCTTTGATAGTAATGTCTTCATATTAAAGTAAAAGTACAATATTGAAAGTTTTTATGTTGGCTTCTGTCATTTGTAATCCCTTCAATTGTAACCTTTGTCATCGTGTATTTATTTATTATGAAAGAATATTTTTTCTTTTCATTTCTGTTTATATAAAATGAGCAAAACCCTTATGCATATATTGCAGCCTAAAACTTTTTTCCATTAAGTAAATCCTGTGTTTACATGCTTTATACCTTAGAACATAATGAAATTAAGCTCTTCATAAAATGCTTATGTGTTCTACATGAGTGTCACTGGGGAAATATTTTACTGATCTCAATCTATTAGGCTGTTAAATCAGAGAGACCTACAGGCAAAAAAAAAGCTGTTATATGCATATACTTATACCCAACAGATAATCTTGAATCTCAAAACAAATTTCTATAAAGAAGATACCAAAATGAGAATGTGAGAAAACATGTGAAATAATTGTGATAAGTAAGAATTTGAAACAGGAATTTTACCTTTCATGCTTACCATACAAATCTTCCAATAAGGTAAACTGTCCATTTCAAAACAAAAGTATTTCATGTTAGCAATGCATTCTCCAAACTTTATTTTAAAATTGTATTGTACTTTTTGTACGAGATATTTTCTCTGTAAAAGGAATAGAAGACCCAAACGTGCAAAGGCTTAAGAAACCGAGTCATTTTAGTCGTGTAAGTAATCCCATTCTTTGCTAAGAGTGATCAGGTTTCTATTCTTGGTTCTATCATAGACTTTCCTGAGTGACCTAAGGCAAGTCACTTAAGACCGAATTATTTTAATGAGCTCTGGGGCAAGGCTGCCAGGAAGACAGGTGAAACGTAGCCACCCTGAGGAAAACATTACCCAGGTATTTCTGTCAGTGGCAGCAAGGGGAGGTTAAGCAGCTCCTGCCCAGAGTGATTCATTCTGACTGTCATGATGCACCATCAGTTATCAGGGTGCAATAATTTCGGGGACCAGAGGTGATCTGGAACACAAAGCTGATCCCAGTTTAAAAAAATGCAAAAAGTTTTTGGTTTCAGCCCAGACCAATGTCCCCACCTGGTTCTTCAGGTAGCCCCATACTGGCTCCATGAAAGGATGCTGAAGGAGAGGAGTTGAGTGGCAGGAAGAGAAGTGTATAAGAGGTGCCCTGCTATCTGTGACCTGGCTGGAGCCTCTAGCTGGCATGGAAGAATAGCTCTTAGTTGCTTTGTCTCCTGCTTGTAGTTAATCATGGTGTGGTGGTCTGTAGCGCCAAAAACCTGAGCACACACATACATTTGTATATGCGCGCGCACACACACACATTCTTCATCTGGGCTGATTAGCCCAACCAGATAATTTATTTTAAAAAAAAATTACGCTAAGGCAACCTGAATTTAAGCAGTGTTTATAGCTCAAGTTCCCATCTATAGGCAATTTAGGAATTGTTAACCCGACTTTAAACCAAGACTGGCCTGACTTTGTTGCTTTTTAAATCCAGTCAGCTAATTCAAATTCAGAACACGCCTTTGTTTTTCAGAGCAGATGAACTACAGTCCTTTGTGAATGTAGGTGGAGTAAAGGGAGATGGCTTTTTGTTTCCTGTCTTCCTAGTCTGTCTTGTTTCTGCACATTGTGATTAACAGCATAGCCTGTACTTATTTTCTCTGCATTTTAGGCCATGGTTCCTATCTCTTATTGGCAAAGCTAGCTAAAGAAATTGCCAAATCCCTTGCAGGAATTTCTGTTGCAGAGTTTTGGACCACTGTCCGAACTGTATTTTTTAACTACAGTCATTTGCCTAATCCACTTTATGGATGGTCAAACGGATGGATATCCAGTTATGGCATGGCCTTGCAAATTACTGTAATTCATAACTAAGAGGACAGCAAACTATTGTGTGGGGTGGAAGCTGGGAGTACAGACACCTTAAATGAGCTCTCTTGTCCAAAAATGACATTTTCAATGGAGATACCTTCAAGCATATACTTTCATGGTTTGAAAGACCCAAATAAAAGCATTTACTCATTTGAGATCCCAAGAGAAAATGCAATCACAAGTACATAATAGTTATTATTTTTACTGCTCTTGTTAACCTGTATAAATCTAAGGATAACATCAGAGAAGCTTTACTAAATGGCACTGTACTTTGACCTTTAAAGGAAAAATAAATTAATCGTGAACTCATTTGCCAGTTGCAATAATTAAGAATAGTTTATGGGCATTAGTTTATGCCCAAGCTAAGGTATAAACTGCTTTGATTAAGTTCACTCTTCTACATGAATTATTTTGTCTCAAATTTAGAAGTTACATTTCCTTATTGGTAATACTTTGCCAAATTGATAGAGGAACGATCTCATATTGAAGATACATCGAGATGTAAGACATCTTTCAAGTGTAGCTAGGATACAACTACAATAGAATAGTTCAGGGAAAATAATAGCCAGCAAAACCGAAAGGAAAAGTGGAGTAAACAGAAATTAATGGGTATCCTTGCAAAGCTGTCTTGAAGGAGAAATTCAGAACAGGTAATTATTCTTACTGTTAGTTGAAAAAAAGATAAATTTATCTGCAGTATTTCCTTTTTCATTAAGGATGTTATTTGTGGCTATTAGAATCCTTATGGCACAGAATGATGTGTTTGGGGTAACTTTTTGTTTTCCTGGAAACAGGACTCTGGTCATTTCAGTCATCTGATTCATAGTATGGCCCCATGGACAGTTGTATTGGCACAGGAAGAGAGGACCAGAAATTCATGCAGGCAGAAATGAGCAGCTCGCAGAGTTACTGGGGGCTGACATTTCTTATCTGAATTTGTTACAAAGGCAAATGTCACCTGTAAACCAATTCCAAGAATTAGGCACTGAAATTTTCCATCAAACAAATTTATCTTGAATGGCTATATTTTATTCCTTTTATAAGCAAGCTACTTGATTTGCCAACATTTAGTTTTATTTTCTCCTGTCATTAAAATGTACTTTTAAATTCAATCTCAGCATAAGCGGTTGCTTGTTTACATATTTCCCTAATTAAGAACATTTTTCATGAAGGCTTTGATTCTTCTGTGGCCTATCCATTCAAAATTCCAATGAAGTCAATTGGATGCTGTTGAACCGTGATTAGTACCAGCAAGTAAGACTGCATTTGATAATGACTGATGAGTAAACTTAGTCATAGTCATATCCAAAATGTGAACATCTGTCCCATTATCTTACTGCAGCATTTTAGTGACACTTCAAACTATTGTAACTGACATATTCATCTGTGTTTTGTTCACGAGTTTACTGGAAGAATTTTCCAAGCTGGGGAAAGGCCATTCTGAACTTTAAACATCATCCTAAACTGAGAGGCACTTTAGAATTATAAGTTTTGAGTTAAACAACCTTGGGATAGTCCATCAAGCATAGTTCCAGGCCACTGGTCTAATTTTTTTATTGTACAGCAACCAAGAAATGAAAAACATTTTTAAATTAGAAATGTGAATGCAGTTCTACAACAGCCAGCAGAATCACAGAGATCAGGCAGTTGACAAGAAAGTGCTTTAAACCCAGATTATGATAGACCAGAATTGACCACAGTACTTCCACACTACCTGACAGTTTTGAGGAGATTATTGTATTATTAAACTTAATCATGATTTCTTGGTTTTTATCAGCAAGGGCAAGATCCTCAGGTGTTTTAGATGCACACTAAATTCAATAGAGGAATGGGTTTTTACACCAACTAAGGAGCTGGCCAAAAGTAACTGTGTAGTGATTTCCATAAAAGGCCATTCCCCTTTTCTAAAGTTATTTCAAAATTTTCAGTCTGGTTTTAAGAGATATTTCATACCATGTTACATTCTATTTTACTGTATTTCTCTTCCAAATTAAATTTGAATTAGTCTAGAGAAAGTACAAGAAGGAACGACCATGTGGACTGCTGACTCCAGATGGAAATCTGTAAGGGCATGCTCTTGTATGAGCATTGCTTCCTCGTTGGAACTGCTGGATCTGTGGCTGATGCAGGGCATGTGGCCCCCAGCTATCTCCATGCACAAGGTTTAGCCATGCCTGAAGTCCCTGCGTGAATCGTGGTCATTGAGCCCTGGGTGGGGGACATGTTTCCCATTACAGTGACCTCTCTGTGAAGCTGCCCATGAAGATGAGGGACTCCAGAGGAGTCTCATCCTTCTTATGCCAGGAAGGGTCTCTGCAAACCAACATTCTGGGGAGTGTGAGATGGCAGCAGGAGGAAGACGATCCTCAGCTGAAGGCTCCATTTGCTGTCCACTTCTGTCTGATGACATTAAAGCATGCCAAGTATGTGAGGGAACTGATTGTGAATTTCCTGTGTTTAATGTTTTTCATCCTGAGCTGAGCCTATATTCAGACTTAACATTTACATAAGCAATTCCAGTGCCTTTGGTGGGAGTTACACCCCTTTGCACCTTGTATTAAGCCACAGAATTAAAGTTACAGCTACACAAATGAACAGAAGTGAGTTGCTTTGGGTATTGCCCTAGGTGTCCTTTGTGCTTAAATTTCCCGTGAGAAAGATGAGGATAACAGTATTTCCCTATCTCACAGAGGCATTGTGAGAATAAATACAGTGCTGTGGTATTAATGATTGGAGTTTTTTAAGTACATATTAGTATCATTGATACTGACGTAGAGTTTTTATTGCTGTCTCACTGCGAGTTGTCTCAGCATATGTGTGCATGAGCTGTAACACAGGTTTGTTCCCTATCCTCCTCACTAAGTATCTGTGTCAGCACTGTAACTTTCCAGAGTTCCCACTGAAATTCTCTCTTCTGATCACTTTCTTCCTGTGGTGTACAAGATCGCATTTTCTCAAGCCAAATATTCTTCTGCAGCATCTAATCATTTTATGAGTTCTTCAGGTCCCTAAAAATATTTTTTGTCTCTTTGGATGATTACAGCACCTCACAAATTAGTTTTAGCTCTCATTAATACAGAAGTTAAATACAAGAACTCACAGTAAACTTTGTGGTTCCCCTTGGTGTGATATGCTGTTGGCTGGTATTAACCTTTGTTTACAGCTCTTCAACCAGTTTTCATTCCATGTGACAGAACACGGTATTCAGCCAATTAGAATTAATTTTGCAAATAAGATTTCAAGAGATGCTATATCAAGTAGGTTAGGTTTTGGGCTAGCACTTTGCACAGAGTGTCTAAAATCTATCATTTCAAGGTATAGTGATTTTTGTTTTCTTAAATACAGAAGGATGAACAAAAAATTAGCTAATGGACCATAATGTATTGCCTGGGCATCATAAATGGCTTGATTGTCTTGAAAGATCCAGAATTACTATGCAAAAACATTAAGTCCTGCTTTAAATGCAATTTACCAATTTAAGGTCAAATTTGGTTGCACTGCTCAGGTAGTTTAAAATATCTTTGAAAAATTAATGATCGGGTCTGATTTTCCTACCATTTTGCCTTGGTTTACACTGTTGTAATTCCACTGACAGCAAATGGGAGGTACTCTTTCTATGTGTGAGAGTAAAAAAAGAAAATCATTATTTATAGTCTTCGCATGGTCATGAGCTAACAAATGGATTTTGAATTGAGTGTATGTTTTGTGTGCTTTTTCTGTGTTTTATTTTGGTAATTTGTAGCCACCATTATTATATGAAAAGGAGCAGATGTATGGCTGCTGGCAGTTTTCTAAAGAAAATATTTATTTATTACTTTCTATTTTGCATGTGTTTAATCACAGAAATCTTGCATATTTTGAACAATTATTTTTATTACCCTACTTTAATATTTTACCAAGAGAACAATTGACTTCTCCAGCTTGAGTATATTAAAAGCTTAGTCAGGTGTATGTTATATGTGGTTCCCTTCCAGTTTTAAAAATGTATACATTCTCTTTTTAATGTTCCAGGGAAAAGCAATGGTATTTGCTCCACTCCGAGGGAATACTTTAAACCAGTTTTGCAATCTAGCTGAAAAAGCTGGTTTCTCTATCCAAAGACATGAAAATTATGATGAACACATTTCGAACTTCCACTCCAAGGTTAGTTTTCTGCTTGTGTTAGATAACACTTTAATCCGCATTGCATTTTGAAGAGATCATGGTCCTTTTGGCAGGTAACCTAAATGTTTGATTAAAGTACTCCTTAGGTGTGCTGTTTCTGAACAGCTATTTTTGTATCTGATTATTTTGTGTGGTAGAACCATCCTTTATCTCTGCACGTCTAGAAGAGTTTTGCAGAAGCATCTCCTGTTTACCCTTTTCATTCATAGAAATCTAATTTATGAGAGTCTTTTCTTGTTGTTGTTAGCTGCCTGTAAATATACTGCGCACTAGCATTTACATTTTAATAAAAAGCTTGCAACTTTTAAGTAGGTTAAATACTGAAGTGGACTGAAATAAATAGGAGGTGAATGTCTAATTGTATCATATCGTACCTTAAATCCTTATCTCTGGCTGCTTTATGGCTGGGTCAGTTGGCAGCTTCAAACTGCTAAATCTCATACAGAATTTCACAGTTGTGGGGTTATATGTCAGATCGAGGCGCTACAAGATTTAGGTCAAAAGCACTTATCTGAGCGTGATTTCTAAGCTTGCTTACATAAAGCTACTCTTATCAGTCTCCTTTTTTATTATTTATAAGTATAGAGTAATACAGGACATGAAGAGGAAGGTGCTTCACAGAAAACTTTTTAGGAAT